TGTTGAGCCTGGGGTTGGTATTTCTTCACAAATACTGATGGCTTTTTCTTTTCTTAAAATAATAGACGCTTAAAAAAATAAAAAGAAAGAATTGTGTAAAGAGAGAAGTGTATTTTGTTTGGCCTCACTAAAATACCACTTGGCTCCAACCAGCCCGTATTTCCTGACTCGACCATGCCCTGAAGCAATGAAAGGGAAGAAGTTCTTCAAATGAGATTTGAGTTTGTGTATTTGCATTCCTTTCAGTTTTTGACTGTGTTGTTAGTCTTAGTTGGTCCAGCACTGTGAAGCTTGAGTCAATTTACTTAATAAAACTTAACAGTAGGGAATCTATGTTGTTCAAAATTTGCTTTGCTCTGGCTAATCTGAAAAAGACCCATTTTGGGATACAATTGTTTTTTTCATGTAGTCTACATTCTCAGCATGCTATTTATCCACACAGAATTTATTAATATGTGTTAAATATTTTCATAAATAAAGGCAGGCTATTCAAGATGGTGACATAAAAAAATGACCCAAAATTAAAAAAAAAAAAAAGTACTAGGTCAACTTCATTACTGGCTTGAACTACTTAGGATATCCTGTGGGAAAGTGATCCACTTTTCTGACATAATTGGTTTGTGTGTCACAAATAAAAATGGCAAACCTAAAATTTACAGTAATTTTTTCTATGCTTTTCTCTATTTTAAAGTAGAATACATTTTTTCACAACTTAACTGTGACTTAAGTAGTCCCCTTTACATGGATAAAGCAAAGCACCGAGGAAACCTGTCCATGGTCACACAGTGGGTGGGGCAAAGGCAAAATGTGTGCCAAGAAATTGTTTTTTGTGCTTCATTCTCTTAGTGCTCTAGTGATATGATTTTGATAGAGGCCTTAATCAAGACCTTTCTCTTCAAGTACTTGGCAGACTTAAAAAGTGTGTGTAAACAGTCTGCACATTCTATTTGACTCTGTAACTAAATAAACCCTTTGTGGGATGCAAATAGCACCTATTCCCCAGCTATAGCCAAGCCTCCAACTGGTCAGTGATGCAAATTGTGGAGAGTAGGTACAGTTTACTATCTGACATTGGTAGCAGCCTTTTCAGTAATGAAACAGTGTTAAGGCCCAGCACTGTAAGGGGCTGTTATTGCCAACCTAATTTAATAAATACTTAAGTGCTCGCTAAAATCATGTACAATGTAAGGTATGAGGAGAGTGGTAGGAACATGAAAAGGAAAAAGATAAGGAGCAGAAAGAATGGAAAAAAGGAAAAAGATAAGGAGCAGAAAGAATGGAAACAAAAAGACATATGAAGAGGAGACCGAGGGGAAAGAGGTACTACTCATTGGGCTTTACAGTCAGTAGAAAGAAGTTCAAATCCCAGCTTTATAGATTCCCAACTATACATCTCACTTAAATGAGAACTATTACCTAACTATACTGAAGGCAAACAACAATGAGATATATCATTATTTATCAAATACTGAAAATCTTTATTTATAATGGTGATTGTTGGTGGTGATGTGTTCTTCTGTGCTTTGAATTTTAGAAAGGCCATGTTTGCTCTGCATTGCATAGACTTCAGTGTATCAGGTAGGATTTGTTCTAGCTGTATTGTGATAGAAACCCATACAAAGTTTAATATGCAAGATTTAATTCATTCACATAAAGGAGTTCAGAAGTAGGCAGTCTGGGGCTCTTAAGGTGATGTCTTAAGTTGTGAGAGCCCCGGCCTCTTCCATTTTTTGCTCAGTCATCTTCTAGCTTTATGGTTCCATATGGCTGCTGGAGCTCTGGCAATTATATTTCCTTGTAAGGAGGTTTTCCAGAAGTATCATGTGATATTCTGTTTACATCTCATTGGCCATAACTTAGTCTGGGCCACACATACTTAATAAGGAGCTCAGGAAGTCCAGTTTCACTAGTTCTCTAGTTTTTTGAGCCTTGTATATGGAATGTAGAAAGAAGTATTGTGATCCTGGGAAAAATGTCTTAGAAGTTAAAACTTATTATTAGTACTAATAATAGTAACATTTAAGAGGTCACAGGCACTGTGTTAAAAAATTTATAAGAACCATCTCATTTGCCTTTTCTTTGATGTCAGAGTCATTATCGCCATTTCACAGAAAAGAAATTGTGGTTTAAAAAAGTTGAGTAGTTTGCCCAAGGTTATGTCACTAGTAAGTGGTGGACCTAATGCTCAGAACCAGCCTTGTCTTTCTCTAGATCCCAACCATTTAATTAGTACTTTGCCTCCCACTTCTCAAGTTTTAACTTGGTAGTTTACCCATATCTATATTGGGATGTTTTAAAAACTTCTATCGTATCTGTGGTTTTATAATCTTTAGCTCTCCGTGCTTTTCACCTAGCACACATACACACACAAACACACATATGCACACATATCTCATTTACTTTTTTACTATCTTTAAGTATTTTTATGCTTATGTAAAAGAATGTGACTTTTATGACTTGATTAGTTCATTGTGAGCTGTCTCTCTGTACTTTTGGTCAAGATATTAGCAAATTAGAATTTTATTATTTACTAAGCTCCCCCCATCTTTTCCTCAGATTCAGTCTCAAAAGCTATTGGGGATAACAGAGTGAGTAAGAAAGAGTCCTTGCCCTTGAGGCAGTTACTGTGTAATTCTTTAGAGAATTGGTTTTAGACAAGCCTCTTAACATCAAATTATACTATGACACTACATGTAAATCACAGCTGACCTAGATGTACACACCCATTTGTCCTTATAATTACAAGTGCATCATTGTTACCTCTAAATGACTACCCATCCCTTTCAAAACATTCCTAAGAAATTAGGTAGAGTAAATAGGCGATTCTATTTTAGTACTCTTTTTATTTTTCCCTTAAAAAATATGGTTTATATTATTGTTTTAGTAATAGAAACTTAATCTTAATTTCATAAATATATGTGGCTGATTATGATATCTATTATTTTGAAATGACCATTTGTAAAAATAGTTTAACTTCTATTTTATGACATTTTGTATAGTGGCAGAAATGATGCACAAGCATATTAGAAGCCCAAATCAAACAGGGACCAGTGTGACATTTGGGACGAGAACCTGCCAAATAAGCCAAATAGAATTTATTGATGGTGGGGTTTTTGTGGGGTTCTTTCTTTGTTTTTTTTGTTTGTTTGTTTTTACAAGATCAGAGAAGACAAATATTCCACCTGACATGTTAGGAAAAAAGGAGCATTACCCAGGGACGTGAGGCTGATGACATCATCTCCTATAAGACTTCCACTTCATTCAGTCTTTGTACCTGGAAATCAGATATTGAAAGAAGGGACTGATGAGGATTCTCAATCAGTATATTTCCCTGCTTTGTTTTCTAGTCCATCTACTGCTTGAGGTTATTTCCTTACAAAGAATTTTTTTTTCCTTATTTGGGAGCTACCTACAAATTGTTTTTCCTATTTGCTGATTATGTATATACAGAAATATTTTGTTTCATAATGGGAAGGTGATTTTTTTAAATTTTATTATTATTATTATTATTATTATTATTTAATTTATTTATGATAGACGTAGAGAGAGAGAGAGAGGCAGAGACACAGGCAGAGGAGAGGGAGAAGCAGGCTCCATGCCGGGAGCCCGATGCGGGACTCGATCCTGGGACTCCAGGATCGCGCCCTGGGCCAAAGGCAGGCGCAAAACCGCTGAGCCACCCAGGGATCCCCTAATTTTTTTAATTGACACAAATTTTTTATCTAAACCTGGGATTTGCCTCGGTGTTTTCATACCTAGTCTTTAAAGTAGTGAACCGAGCTCCATCAGTTTGAGAAGTCAGTTCTTTTTTACTTGGGTTATTTGGCATATATCATGTGCCCTGACACTTGACTTAAAGGTAGTATGTCTCCCGGCTCTCCTAATAATCCTTTTATCTTGATGACCTAATAAACTTTATCTGCTCATGGAAAACTTACATTTCCTAATTGTCCTTGGGATAATGGGCTTTGTTATTACCTAGAGCAAATTTTACTTTGAAGACTTATACCATTTGGCTCCTAATGACAACAATAAATTAAGCTAGTGTAGAGCTTCAGAATTTAACAAAGAAAATGAATTTTAAAAGGGTTTTCCACATTATATGCAGCCCTTACTGCAACAGTGAAGGAAACGGTTTATGGTGTTTTGTGATGTCATCAAGGATTCTGCAGTAAACCCATAGACATGATTCCTTCCTCCTTTCATATTGTAAGGGGGAGAAATGTTTATTATAAATGAGGGAGATATGTTTTTATAAGAAATCCACAGCTCAGAGAACTTAAGTGGCTTGCTCAAAGTCATTGTAGGTGATAGAATTTGTATGGAATGTGTGATCACTGATTAAACTGGAAAAAGCAAATGGGAAGGAGATTTTAAAATCTCGGAAAACTGCCAAAGAGTCAGAATGTTTTTTCTTAGATAATGGGTAGCCAGTGGAAGCTTTGGATTGGAGCAGTGATGTAATCAAAGCATTTAGAGAGAATATTCTGATACTGAGGTACTGGTTAAATGAATAAGGTTGTAGAGATGTGGAACAACTGAAGACTATTAATACTTATATGTGTAAGAGAAGGCCCTGAAATAATAGGATGGTCAGCAGACTGGGATGGGACAAATGGAGGAGACACTACCCTGGGGAAAGAGGGGAGTCTGGAGGCTGACAGTGTAGGAGAAGGAAAGAAGTCAGTGATGTTGAAGTTTCAGGTGCTAAGAACTTCGTAGTAACCATCAATAGCAGCCCGAAGAGCTTAAAGAGCCCCAGTTAAGAGAAGCCCAAATGTCCTTTCATATGACTCCTCTCTAAGATCCCATTTTTGAAGACTATCTCTCAGAGTATTTCCTAAAATCAGGAATAATGCTCCCCAAAGACTAACATTGAGAAAACGGAGCTAAGATCATTAGACGAAAGTGAGTCTTTTCCTGAGTGTGTGAAATGATGGATCAGCTAAGACAAGCGTGTGGCATGAATTTGACTATTGACCGAGGGGATTGTTTCCTAGGCATTTTTTGTCGACCACAACTCCCGCACCACCACTTTTATCGACCCCCGGCTCCCACTCCAGAGCAGTAGACCCACGAGCGCGCTGGTTCATCGGCAGCACCTGACCAGGCAACGCAGCCACAGCGCAGGCGAGGTGAGTCCCACACCGCATACCCCCGGGAAGGGCCTGGGCCTTCGTGGAAGCCATGTGGACATGGTGGCTATGGCAGTGGGCTGGCTTCTTATTATTGTCTTGTTTTTCCAGTTTGATTTGGAGATTAGCCTTTGGAGACTGAGACGTGTTGGAATGTTGACAGGGCTTCTCTGGGAATACACAGAACCTAATTTGCAAATTTTAAAAGACAGGTATATCAGGAAAGATGAAAGAATTGAGAGTTTTTTTACAATCGGGAGATGATGAGAGAAAACTCTCAATGTTATGAACTGTTCAGGAGAGGATCATGGTAAACCCTTTTGCATATCTGAAGGTAGCTTCATAGGAAAAATAAATGTAAGTTTTTTTCATGACCCAATGGTAAAATGGGCAGAGGTCAAAACAAGGTTTGAGAGAGGCGGACATCACATAACTGAACACGCAATCATTATGCTTATGAACTGCAAAACGATCTAAATGTAACTTATAATGGGCTAAATTGTAGTTATATACCGAGAGGTTTTCTGCGCGAGGGTTGCTGGATTGCATTAAAATCTTCAGCCAATGCTCTGGGGTTGTGGTGTCCTCACTAATATTCTGTAAAATCACCCTATAAATGAGAGTTGATTCATGTACTACTCTAAGAGCCCAGAGAAAATGGGCAGAATTAAAAATTACTGAAAGCTCTACCAAGCTCTACCTTGCTGGCTTGCAGTGACCTGTGGTAACCACGTGGGGGCTCTCAAATAGCTTAACCAAAAAAAAAGAAAAAAATGAAATAATCACTTCCTGTTTTCCTTTTACTTTAGCAGCTTAAATAAAAGGAATGTTTTAGGTCAACTTTTTTTTCTCTTTAATCCTGGTTATTCTTTGAATGTGTATCATCGCTTGGTATGCATTATTTCTAAAAATTTACCCAGGCAAAAAGAATTAAGATTCTTTTCCATGTCTGCGTGCATATTATATTTTCAGTGTTATGTTGTAGGTCGAATATCTTTGTAGCCTCTCTTATAAGAAAAATTATGAATGCGATAAATAACTGGATTTGATTCATCAGAATTCTATTCTTGGAATTTCCCCTCATGATTTACATACTTGTGTGTTTGCTGATTCTAAGTGCAGACATAGAAGAGCATACTTGAGAAGTGCATATAAAAGTGATATATAAATCTATTGCAGGATGAAGTATGCACAAAAATATTTATGTTTTATGAGTAATAAATCTTTACTTTGCTGCCATGGAAACCATTAGGGGTGAACTGGATGATGCTAACAGCATTCATCTGAAAAGCAGAACAGTTCTCTCACCTTTGGACCTTGTGTGTGATGCATACCATAATTAGGGCCCTGCCTGACTTTATCACAAGGCCAGTGTACTTTAGCCACTTGCCTTATCTTGACTTCACAGTATGGAGCTGGCTGCTGGGCCTGGTCAGGACTACATGCATAAGATTAGCAGCAGACACCTTCCTTTTTCTTTCAATTCCTCTGCCTCAGAACCTGAGTTATTTTCATGGTCTAGTAGTAGCCTGTTGTGGTAGAGGAATCCTAAGCTATACCTTCAAATTTAAATGAAGATAGCTCTTCCTGCTGATGGAGACTGAATAATGGAACAGAGATAACCTCATACAAACTCAGCAGTTAGCCCCAGCCTTGTCAGACCATTGACAGGAATGGGCTTTCTGGCACAGCTGTGGGAAGCCTGCACATTCTGTAGTGCTACACACATTTATCTGGCCTTGCCCACTGTCTGACAGTCTGGTTTGAAGAAGTGGGGTGTTGAAGGGAAGACAGTTGGCTGTTCTGGAAAATAATGATGCATGACCACATATTGACAGGAGGGCAAGTATATGTTCGCATATTGAAATAAGTTCTGTACTGACAAACAAGGTTGGTTAATGATCGAGTCTCCTCTTGAGAGTGGCTGACTTTACTCTTCAAAGCCGATAATTCAAAAGAAGCAGAGTGAGAAATTTCTCGTCAAACACAGAAGTCTTTCCACCCACTCTCTTATACTCATTTAGCAAATATTAACAGGTAGTAGAAATTTTAATTGTATCTGCCATCCAACAAGATAATTCTTACCAAACACTTGCAGTGTAGAAACATAGTGGTTGGTGTGAAGGATACAAATAGCATACGTTCCTTGTTTTTATTAAGGAGAAAATAGATAAAACTAACCATAATACAAATGAATACAACTATGTATGAAAATGCTTTATGTATATGACATTCATAATGGCAGCTGCTTAAAAAATGTGTACCAAGTGCTGTGGGAGCTCAGAGAAGGGAGCATTTAAAGTCAGCTTGATCGGAGGGGAAGGCTTCATCAAGGAGAGGCTGTTTGAACTACACTGTGAAGAATGAGTGGGAGCATTCTTGAAGGATAGGCAAGCAGTGTAGAATGGGAACCGTGTTTTTAGTTTTAGGGCCTTTAGAAAAACCCTCACCAAACACCTAACAGATAACAAGGTGATAAAATGGTGGTGAAGGTTTGGATGGGTGGGAGTAGAAGCTCTGTTTTTAAAGCCACAGTTTATAAATCCAGCATGTTATTTTGCCTATTTTTCTCTTACTCTCTGATACTTCCTCTCTACTGTTGTCTGAATAGACTTCTGTAATACTGCAGGGGGTTTGCTAAAACACAAGCTAAAGCAATGTTAGCGTATACTGATTGGACTATTAATGGGCATTTTTGTTGATCTACTCATTTGTATGAGTTTCTAAATCTAGAATAGGTACAATAAATAATTCAGGTTGGGGCAACCTTATTTAACTCTTTCACATCTGCTGTGATTAGTTCCCTGGTGTGGGAGGTTCAAACCAGAAAGAGCTGTTGTACGGGGTGCTCTAACAGGCATGTAAAATTGCTTCTAAGGAGAAAACACACCAACTCAGAACCCCACACGAAGCCAGCTGCTCTTTAGCCTCCATTGAGCAGGGATTCCCCTGACCTGCCTTGTCTGAAAGAAGGGGTAACCTGGCATTGATACTTCCCAAGTTCTCTCTCCGATCGATGTATTGTTGCAGGGTTTTGTTCTGTCAAAACAGAGGTTAGTCCTGACAAACAGGTCTGCTGGTTAGCTTCTACAGCCCCGATAATTGTTCCCATCTGGAACTACTTCTGTTACCACCTGGTACATAGTCACTGCCTGGGCCTCTGTCAAGGATATGTGTGCCCCAACCCGTGGGGGTTCAGTTCAACCACTAAAGCAGAGCTTTTGAGAGCCCCATGTCAGCTCCTCAGCTGCCTTCTGTTCTGATCAGTTGGTATTTAATGCTCATTGTCAAGTATTTTGAACAACTAGGCTTGGTGTGCTGATTTAAGCCAGTCCGGGTCTTGGTGCAGAACATAAAGGATCCTTCTATTTGCAGGTAGGAGAAGATTCTCGACATACAGGACCACCAGTTCTTCCCAGGCCATCAAGTACATTCAATACAGTCAGTAGGCCACAGTACCAGGATATGGTTCCAGTGGGTATGTCATCCCTTTCCAGAAATCTTTATTTTCACTTTTCATATCAGTGTGAATCATGCATTCTGTGCCAATACTTCCCTGTTGTCAGCCTGCTACTTTTGCCCGGTAATGAGAAACTGTTGCATTATCCCTAAGAAACTGATTGGAATTGCAAAGTACTCATGTCATATAAAATCCTACAGGATGAGATTTCTTTTTATATTACTCTACCTTTTCTGAGTAGAGCTGTCCTATTAGATGGTTGAAGTAAAGAAAAATAAGCTCTTGTGGCAAATATATTATGTGGTCATTTCAAATTCAGCATTGGACAAGCATATACTTAGTATCTATCTAATGCTTGGGACCAAATTTAAATAGTTGTGTGAACCTACTGTAGCCTGATAATAGGAGATCGATGATGCCACATTCTTAAAATTTTGGTAAAGAGCTGTGTATTTGTAGCAAATACAAGGCAGCAAGAGCCTCCAAACTTGTGAAATTAAAAAAAAAATTAATTGCAAATAGGCCTAAAGAACAACTTTTTTATTCACATGGTAAGGTTGGAGTAGATCAGTTTTCATACCTGGAGCCCTAAAGCAGGCCATATGGGCCCCCTGCATCATCTTAAATTTGAATAGCTCTCCATTTGTCTGTTTTTATCTCAGAGTTTTCACTTCCTTAAGGAAGACTTTAACATGAAATATAAAGTAATTCCCATCCATTATTTAACTAAAGAAGTTTGACAAACACTGGACAAGAAGAAATCTTGGATCCAAACCTAACAGTCTATTTTATCATGGTGTTATGAATAGGATACTATTGCACAGAGAATTTAAAAATCTTATAAAATTGTTGCTCACAAAGTTATCTAGTCTCTGTAGATAGAATGTAAAGACCCACTGACAAAATTTCAGTTGTAAAAGTGTTTCCTTAAAAAAAAAATTTAAGTGATCTCATTATTTACGTAGGATGAAATGTGTGGTTAGGTACACTTCAGATTTGACAATGGGTTTCCATGTTAGCAGGTAGTATTTTAAGACTTTTATTCACATTTAACTAAAATACATATGCATAGGCAGCATGATGCAGCTGAAATTTGAACTGGCAAATGTTTAGAATGTTGTATTTCTTTTATTTGGCCATTTGTTAAAGTAAAGCATGTTCCTTGATCATATTTATGGACACAAGAGCGTTGACTGAACTAGGATCACTGATGTTTGAGAATCTATGTGTTTAATTCTGTGGGTGAAATCTATCTATATTTCTGATTAGAATCAGATATAATCAAGATGAATAATCTTAAGTAAACAAATTGGTTTTCTTGACAAAAGAGGAATAAATTATTAGAGCCCTTAATGAATTGTAATGAACTATTTTAAAATTTATTTTAAAAAACTGTGGACATTAGCCAGTTTGACAAAAATACATTTTTTATTTTCTTTTGATGTTATATACATAGTTTGATGATATACAACAATTATGTTGTACCTGTTGGTATAGTTGGTTTGGTAAATAGCTACGTGTGACAAAATGGCATTTATTTCCACATAAAATTTGAGAATGGTTTGTCCTCTACATTTTGGTAGTAGCTGTTGCCGACAACTGTTTCTTTGTAAATCGAAGTATAGTTGACCTAGACATACAATGTTATATTAGTTTCCAGTGTACAACATTCCACAATTCTATACTTTACTCAGTGTATATCCCATACAGAATTATTACAATATTATTGACTATACTCCCTGTGATGTACTTTTCATTCCCATGACTTATTTATTTTATGACTGGAAATTTGCACCTCTTGATCCCCTTAAACTATTTTGTCTGTCCTCTCAGCCCTCTCTCCTCTGGCAACCATCAATTTGTTCTCTGTATTTAAGAGTCTATTTCTGATTTTGTTTGTTCATTTGTTTTGTTTTTTTAGAGACCACACATAAATGAAATCACACAAAATTTTCTTTGCCTGACTCATTTCACTTGGATAACACTTTCTAGGTCCATTCACTTTGTTGCAAATGGCAAAATTTTGTTATTTTTTATTGCAGAGTAATATTCTGTTATATATAGAATTATATACAAAATCACATCTTCATCCATTTATCAGTGGACAGTTATGTTGCTTCCCTGTCTTGGCTATTATAAATAATGCTGCAATGAACAGAGAGATGGATATATTTTTTAGAGTTAGTGCTTTTTTCTTCAGGTCAATATCCAGTAGTGGAATTATTAGAGCATGTGATATGTCTGTTTTTAACTTTTCAAGGATCCTCCATACTATTTTTCATAATGACTGCAGCAGTTTACATTCCCACCAACAGTAAACAGGGGTTCCTTTTCCTCCACATCCCTGCCAACACTTGTTATTTCTTGTCTTTGATACTAGCCATTCTAACAGATGTGAGGTGATATCTCACTGTGGCTTTGATTTGAGCATCTTTTCATGTATCTGTTGGCTGTCTGTATGTCTTCTTTGGAAAAATGTCTATTCAGGTCCTCTGCCCATTTTCCAATGGGATTATTTGTTTTCTGGTGTTGAGTTAAATGAATTCTTTATATATTTTGGATATTAACCTCTTATTGGATATATGATTTGCAAATATGTTCCCCTGATGTTTAGTATATTACCTTTTCATTTTTTTTATGTTCCCTTTGCTATGTAAAAGCTTTTTAGTTAGGTGTAATCCCAAGAGTTTGTTTTTGCTTTTGTTTTTGTTCCTGAGGAGACATATCAGAAAAATGTTGCTAGGGCCAATGATCAAGAGATTCCTGTCCATGTTTGTTTTGTTTTGTTTTTAGGAATTTGTGGCTCTAGGTTTTACATTTAGGTCTTTAATCCATCTTGATTTCATTTTTTGTGGATAGTGTAAGAAAATGAGCCAGTTTCATTCTTTTGCATATAACTACCTAGTTTTTCTAGTACCATTTATTCAAGAGACTGTTTTTTCCCTACTGTATATTCTTGCCTCCTTTATTATAGATTACTTTATCATATAAGCATGGGTATGTTTCTGGGCTCTGTATTCTATTCTGTTGATCTGTGTGTCTATTTTTGTGCCTGTACCACACTATTTTTAACTATTATAGCTTTGTAGTTTAGCTTGAAATCTGGGATTGTGATACCTCTTATTATACTTTCTTGAGATTATTTTGGCTATTATGGGTCTTTTGTGGTTCCATACAAATTTTAAGATTGTTTGTTCTAGTTCTGTAAAAAAAATGTTTTTTTTTAAAGATTTTATTTATTTATTTATTTATTTATTTATTTATTTATTTATTTATTTGAGAGAGACCAAGAAAGAGAGCACCAGTGGGGTAGGGGCAGAGGGAGAGGAAGAAGCAGGCTTCTTGCTAATTAGGGAGCCTGATGCAGGGCTCTGTTCCAGGACCTTGCGATCATGACCTGAGCTGAAGGCAGATGTTTAAACACCTGAGCCGCTCAGGCACCACATTGTTGGTGTTTTGATAGGAATTTTGTTGAGTCTGTAGAGTACTTTGGGGAATATGTACATTTAACAGTGTTAATATTTCCAATCCATGAGCATATTATACCTTTCCATTCATTTGTGTCATCTTCAATTTCTTTTATCAATATCTTTGGTTTTCAGACCACTATTGTATTTGGGCAACTCTTATGCTGTCTATCTCTGTGAATGGCTGATATTTAATCAGAAGATGGTTTTCCATTTCTAACAGTTGCTTATGAGATTTTTGGTAAAGCAATAGTTAAAAACAATCAATATCTAGAATCTTGTTAGTGATCTCTTCCTGAAATTTGATAATAAATATGTCTTATGGGATGAGTTTAATTAGTGCTTACATCAGACCTACTAGATCTAAGTCCAAAAGTCCTATAACAGGTAGACACAATTTGGAATTTAAGCATCGCTAGTAGCTCCAAACTATGACTTTGATTACAAAGAATTTAACCAAAAAACAGACTTTTAAGTTTGGATTTATGTACATAAACCTAATAACAGATTTTTAAAGTATTGTTACAATTTCTGATTTTTTCAGCTTACAATGACAAGATTGTTGCATTTCTGCGCCAACCCAACATCTTTGAAATTCTGCAGGAGCGTCAACCTGATCTTACCAGGAATCATTCACTCAGGTAACTGTAGTATTGGTATTTGGTTCAAGTTCCACAAGCCCTAACTATTGAATCTTCAGTAACACTGACCATCATCTTGGAAATTCACTCTTTCTTTCTGGCAGTCTAACCAAAGGTATCTTGTGCACAAATACTTTATGTTATTAACAACCAGGTCATTGTAGTCCTGGCTTTTATCTATTAATTATAAAGATTGAATAAGAGTGACAAAAGAACCTAGAACCCTTTTAAAGAATATATATGAAAAGAAACAAAAATTCATGGCCAAGGATACATCCTTGATGTGCAGATTATAATGAAAATAATAAGACACTAACTCTGAATTAGTTTAAGTAAACAAATGTAACAGAGTTTACTGAATTGAGACTTATAAAATCCTAGGCTCAGTATTTACATTTTTTTAATAAAAACATAGTGGAACCCAAGGAAGGACTCTGATACTCCTCACCGTCCAGTATTCCCCTGCATTAACCCTCTCTTCTAAACAGCTCTTCAATGCATCACACTTAAGCCCAGTTTTACTTTCCTGAATACATGCTGTTCCTGTTCCCTGGCAAGTTTTTCTCTTGTGCATTTGGCAAAGAAGGTCTTTCCTTTAAAACTCAATGCAAGATACCCTTACTTGAAGCCTCACAGCTGTACTGTGAGCTCTTGCTTTCAAGATCTAGCTAGTATTTCTCAACCTCATTGTTGTAGGCATCAGCAGAGATGGAAAAAGATACAAATTTCTACTTAAAATTTGACATAACTCAAAGCTCATTTGGTTCATATGCCATCTTTATTGGTAGAAATATGTTTTTCCATTGGTGCCATCTTGGCCCACAACAGTGATTCTCCAATACTACTGTACTTAGTTGTACCAAACTTTTCATGAGTATCAGCTGGGGAGCTTTGTAAAGTATAAAATGTCAGGTCTTCTCTCTCTCAACCCTTCTCTCTTCTCTGAATTTACACCCTGTATCCTCCTACACCCTGTCCAGAAATTTAATTCAGGAGGTTCAGGGGACAGCTCAAGCGTTTAATATCTTAAAACCTCTTCATCTAAGTCCAGTAGCTCATCCAGGTGTAATAACCACTGTTTTAGACACTAATTGATAATTATGTAGTGTATCACATGGTCCTTTATGCTGTTTTGGTTATGTGACTTTTGTGTTATAATTTGACTTACTTATACTCTATTTTCGAACTAAATTATAAGTTCCTTGCAAATATGGATCTTATTCAACTCATTATGTCTCCTCTTTACTGCTTAAATATCAAGAATAGTACTCTGCATATAGTGAATGTGTGTGTGTATATATATATATATATATAGAGAGAGAGAGAGAGAGAGAGAGAGAGAGATTTTTGTTGATTTGAAAACAAATTATCAATTCTTACGTTCTTAGTCTCTCATATCTTTTATTTTATTGAAGCATAATTGATATACATTATATTAGTTTCAGGCATACAACATAATGATTCAGTATTTGTATATATTGTGAAATGATCACCACAATAAGTCTAGTTAAGAACCATCACCATACATTGTTACAGAATCTTTTTCTTATAATGAGAACTTTTAAGATCTACTCTCTTAGCAACTTCCAAATAGGCAATACAATATTATTAACCACAGTTGCCATGCTGTACATTGCATCTCCATGACTTATTTATTTTATAACTGGAAGTTTGTACTTTATAATCTCCTCTCCCCATCTCATTCACTCCCCATCTCCTGTCAGTCTCTCATAGCTTTAAAATTGTCATTATTGTCTAAAGTCTCTAAAGGCTAAAGGCTACATGTAATTTTTCTAGTATGACTATAAACATTGCCTACGCAGAAATCCCAGTTTCACAGTAGTTAACATCTAATGCAAGTCTTAGTGCCTTTCCCAACCTGATAAGCATTCTGTTCTCAGTCACAAGAAAATTATAGAAATTAGATGAGCTATCTCATTTTGCATATTTGTATATTACGGCATCCACTCTGTAATCCATGGTCCACTGGATAGTCTCAAGTAAGAAGTTTTAGTTAATAATATTGTAGAAATAAACTCCTCAGTTGTCCACTGAGAGATCTTAGAAATTCTTGACCACAAAACAAAATAAAAGAACCCAAATCTCTCCTCTTTTGCTAACCACAAAATAAGGGGAACTCTATCTTCTTTCTTTCTTTCCCACTAGCTCTAGGCCCAGCGCGCGCGCGCGCGCACACACACGCTGCTAATTAGTTTCTCTTCCTGTCAGGGTACCCCACCCCCCACAAAAAAAAACAAAAACAAAAAGGAGACTCAAGAAGATTTCTGCTTTTGCTCTTCACACCACAGTATTATTTACAGGAATTTTACATATCTTTACATTTCCTCCATTGGAGGTACTAGAGGATTTAATCTACTTGAATGAGGCATCCAACAGTATCATGATTCTTCAGTTATTTGACAGAACTTTAATAGATCTTAACAAAGTAAAAAACTGCTGGCCCCACTTGGTAGCTTTCAGTTTTGTTTTTCCTTCTGCTTTTCAGAGTCTTAAAAGTCTCTAACCTAAAGATTGGTAAGGATTTTTATTTTTTTAGTGATTCCCAGTGTCTTCAGCTGAGCATTCTTTTTAACATAGATCTTACATGGTAATCTATTGGTAAGAAATTATTTGATAAGCTTTGAAATAAGTTTACATCTTATTCCAACTTATTTCTAACTTCCATCTTATACTTTCTAAAACTATTTACAGCATTTGACCATAAAAAGCATATGCTCCCGTGACAAGTAGAAGGAAGCAGGAACATAAATCAATGAGATAATGCTCTTCCTCTTACCCAGAGTCGTCTGTCACAGTGCACTTTTCTGAAAAGTTTTTTGTAGTTGAGTGTTTTGCTTATTACAACAACGCAGTGGGGAAGTTTGTGTATCTAAGAGAACACTGTGTTTCATATGGTTAAAAACTGCATCGTAAAAGGTGTTCCCACAAATGCAGAGGTGGGGAGCCCCCTGGGGTTCTTTAATCTCCTTTTTCAGTGCTAACTTTCGATAAAAGATTTATAGGTGGAATTGTGCCACTAAGTAATTGTGTGCCAAGGATAACTGAGCAAGGATCCTCAACACTAGTGAAGCTCTTCCTCATCCGTAGCACAGTCACTTAAAGAAATAGCCATTCTTTCTCCCCCCATAATATGAGGAAAAGTGTTAGCCCTTGGCACGTTCAGATGGGTACATCTATTTACATTGAGTTTTTCCTGTTTAGCTTGTGATTCCTCCTAAACCAGCGGATAGCCAGCAGTTTATTTAGTTTCTATCCATATATGGCTTCCTCTTCCTCGACACTCTACTTGTGTATCTTTTACTGTAGAATGTCTATGGTAGCGTGTACAGTGGAATATGGCTTTAGCTTTCAACTGCTATATTTAAATCTCTGCTCCCTCTAACTTTATCTGTTGTGTAAAGGTGATGCTATGAAGTTATCGTCTCCTTTTTTTTTAAATCTCAGATTTATTTCTTTGTCTATAAAAGTCAACATCTAAACATCAGTACTACTTCCTTCAAGTGGGTACTGCCCCCCCATGGATTACTATATCCTACTATTGGCTCTCATTGGAAAGACTAATCATACTAAGAACTTTTAAATAATATCTTGGTGAATGTAACAAATACAAATTCAATAAAGTTTTTGGTATTGGTATTTGTACAACACTATGTTATGAGTAAGGATCTAGATGTCATAAAACTGCATTAAGAATTGAAAATAATCTCTCTTGGGTGGTTATTAGGTCTAGCCAGCAAATATATTTCCTATTAGTCCAGCTTTCCCCAGGCATCAGTGATAACTATGTTGGGGTCCAGGATGATTCCATTTCTATTTGTCCATGAAAGTCATGTGATCATAGTGGACCTCTATTTCCAAATCAAATGAGAAGTAAAAAGAAAAGTTGATCTTTCTACTGCATGGCCCTATCCTTCAAGTGAGACCATGCTCTGTGACTGTAATAAAGAATTTGAATAACCAAGTGAGTAATGAATGCTAATCTTACTTTCTTGGCCTTATACCATTAGAGAAGTCATGAGATTTCTCTAAAATTGCCCTTGGGCAGTTTTTTAAAACATGTATTTTTGAAGGTGTCACTGAGCTGTATCTACAGGAACCATGTGTGCAGAGTCTGCAATCCAGAGAGTCTTGTGGTTTAGAGGCATTGCTGCTTTTGATTGTTTCTGATCACGTGCCCTTCTTAACTTCACCAAAAATGTTGGTTGGTTTCAATGAGAGTATTTTCTGTGGGAATTCCGGTCTTGAGACTATGTTCATTGTCCTCAAATGATCTTCTGCTAGAGTTGATCTTCTGGGGTGATTCTGTACACTTGAGGAAGTGGTTACAAAGATCCAAATATTATGGGCATCTGAGATACAGCAATGGCTAGTGGCTTTTTCCTGAGGTTGTCACACACTACAGTTTAGCATCTTGCGACCACAGCTGTGAGTTTTCTCATTAAAAGATTGCCTCTTTACCTGTCTTTGCACTTCCCTCAGGGGGCTCTATTTTAGCAAATAATCTGATGCCAGCTCTCTGATTCTCTTTTCCTCTCTGCCACAACAAAAAATAGTAGTCAGGGCAATTTGTTAGAAGCCAATTCTTATTTTGGCATTGACGAATCTTGTGCCTGTTCTATTTTATTGAGCATTCCTAATGTGCACAGCAAAAAGCCAGGTACCTGGGGAACATAAAAAATGAAAGAGGAAGGGCTTTTGCTCTCAAGAAATTAATATTTCCAAAGGAATCTGTGTTGTAACTGAATGGCCCAGTGAGAAAGTGCAATGGAGGAAGTCCTGAAATGTATTCTAAAGGGCACAGAGAGAGAAACATACCCATGCAGAGAGGCACAAGTGATAAAATGTTATTTGAATGTCATCTTAATCCTCATTTTAAGCCACTAAAATGAAATAGAATTTCTTCATTAAGATGAATGCAGTCAAGATAGGAATTAAAGGACTGCCACTGATTCCTTTGAACTCTGTAAATTTATAAAATA